CAATAAAAACAATACAAAATTTCAAGACAAGATTCTCTTTCCTTTTGAATATTTTTTAACTGAGGAAAATACTCTAAGATGTACAATACATATCTGTAGACTATATGTTTAGCATATATATTCCAAATGTTTGGTTATATTGTATCAGTGTTATTTTTGATTTACAAATATTGTAGCTTTTAAAAGTGAATTTGAAGTTAGTTTTTTTCAAAATGAAAAATCACGATCTCCTTCACTGTCTACTCTCTAGATTTACATTACTATGTATTAAGTGTTCAAAAGTAAAAGGAAGCATATAGGTATGATAAATGTAACTGTCTTGTAAAAATGCCTATTTTAGGAGATTTTTAAATGACTAGATTAAACTTTATGTAATTATGTATTACATAATTTTGTATAACATGTCCCTTCCTTTACTCATTAATTTTTTGAGTATGTACTATTTCATTTTTATATTCAGTGTCAAGAATAAAAACTAAATCGTACATGAATTTTCCTAGACTCATTAAAAATATTAACCTTTGGATTTACTGTCAAGTTTAACTATTCCCTGGGAAACCTGCTTTACCTGATTGACATATTATTTTTTTCTTTTAGATGTAAAAAAATAAATTTTTTAGTTAGTGAAGAATTTAATAAATACTAAAAGTGTTTATATATTGTCAGTATTAATTTCACATGCATTTAAATAGCTTTCCATATCAATATCCCATAGCATTTTTTCCTTAACCGAATGGCCTGAAAGCCTCAAACAATTGATCTAAATGACATTTAGATATCCTTTCACTTCTGCTTCTGTTGTGGTTTAGCTCTAGATGCCCCCCAAAGCCTCGTGTGGTCATAGGTGGGGCTTTTTCCTAGGTGGCTGAATCTAGAGTGTGTGATGCTAGGATTAAGAGTTTGTGATTACTAAATCATACACTGATTAGTTTGGCACTACCCTAATCCCAGTAGCCCAGATACAATGTAAGGGACAGGAAGAGGTTTGTCTTCTCCCTTGCTTCCTTGTTTGCTTTGCTATCTTCTGTTTACCATGAACTGTTTCTCCTCTGCAGTGCCCCTCTGCTGAGTCATCCTGCCTTGGATCCAACTGATTATGGACTGAAACCTCTACAAACTTCGAGCTAAATAAACCTTTCCTTCTTTAACTCTGGGTGTCAGATATTTTGTTTCAGCGACAAGAAAAGTAACTAACATACCTTTGTTTGATTTTTTGTTAATTCTAATGTGGAAAAGTCCGTTTGCAATTATTTTTTAAGAAGAATTATGTATCTTTGCATGTTAACTTTCAATTAACATGCTAAAATATTTTGTTGAAAAATATGATTAGTTGTCATAAATTGTCATAAAAGGTAAACCTTTCAACTACTGTGTGATCACTTTCACCATACATGTGAGAAAGCTAGGACAAACATTTGTAATTTATCTAGAAGACAGGAAAGATCTGTCAAAACTTGCAAGTTTGACCCCTAGTTTTAATTTTGTTAGATAATAATAGTTTATTTCTATAAAGTGATGAAATGACCAGTGAATGAAAAGAATAATTAGATTATATTTCCTAAAGAAACTACACACTATCCTTTGTGTATAAAAGTAATGGTTTTTAAATGTTAAAATTGCCAGGCATGGTGACATAGACCTGTAATTCCAGCACTTACGAAGCTGAGGCAGAAGAATTGCCTTGAGTTCAAGACCACTCAAGGCTACATAGTAAAATTCTGTCTAAAAGAAAAAAATCTTCTAGGTAATTTGGTTCCATATATGTCAAGATAGTTAATAATCAAGAATCATCAGTGTGCCTCAGGCAATCAAGTCCTGTAACCTTTAATTAACTTCTAGGAAAGAATATTGTTGTTTTAATTTGTGAGTAGTTTTATTCCTCCTAGGATATTCCTAAGCCTACATTATAAGAGTAAAAATACTCAGAGGGTTTTTTAATGGAAAAAAAAATCACTTCTTTTTGTCAGAATACACACTGAAGAAAATCTTCCTTGAAAATCTCACAAAAGATCATCTGTATAGAAATGTTTCATACAGTTTTTTCTAAGACAGTAAATAAATTTCATGTAAATATGTGAAATCCTTTTATTCTAATCCCAGTTTTGCACTTGTGTTAGAATTTCTTTTTGTGAATACATTGTGTTTGTTTTTTGTAACCATTATATTGGTGCCTGCATTAATGGTAGAAAACAGGAAAACGAAAGGGGCAGACAGGTCAAGGAGACTTGTGTGAGAAAATACATACAGATTAAAATCTTTGGCCTATTGACTAGCTTTAGACAATCTATGTTTTGTGTTTTGTATTTTCTATCTTCTTAATGAGCCTCAAGATATTTTTCTTATAGAAATAACCTTTAGTTATTGGATTCAGACTTTGAAATTGGTCCAGGCACCTTTACAAGGCACTTTATTTTTTGAAACTGATTTTATTTATGTATGTATGTATGTATGTATGTATGTATGTATGTATTTATTTATTTATTTATACTGGGAATCAAACTTGGGACCTTATGCTTGCCAAGCAAGGTTCTGTGCTGCTGAGCTATATCCCCAGCCTTTGAAACTGATTTTGTTATAAACACCAAATATCATGATATTTCTCAACTCATTTTCCTACTTTGTGTCTGCTAGCCTAATTAATTTATACAATTTTAAAAGTTGAAACAGTATAAAAAGAAATCTTATTGTGTGAATCTTTATGCTTTTGACAACAATTGTCCTGAAAATGGTAAACTGAGAGATGCCATTTTTATGTAACTGAACACACTCATTCTCTCTATAACTACCCAATATTTTATTGCATCTTTTAATAATTTGGAATTTATTTATGAGCACATACATATCAGACATGAAAGACAGTGAAGAAAATGATGTTTGTTTCCTCCAAACACTAACAAGGAATCTTAATTTTAACAGCCATGGACAGCATTTAGTGCTTTTACTCTCTGGAAGAAGAAAAGTGTGGAAAGTAAGTAAATTAAAGTATGAAACAAAACCCTTAAGTGCATAAATAATATGTGTGTGTTTAAAGTGTAAGCCTGAATTTACCTTTTGTGTCTCATGTGTTGTTTCTGTAGCAAGAACTTGATTTGTCATTCCAAGTGTCCAGAGGAGAGACAAAATGGGAAGGCAAAGCTTATCTTCCATGGCATTATTTTCCACCAAATGTGACAAAATTCAATGCATTTGCAATTCATGGATCAAAAGGTAAAAGAAGTTATGAAGCCCTCTATCCTGTACCACAGCATGAACTGCAAGAAGGACAAAAACCTGATTTGTAAGTAGAAAATAAATAAAACTATGTCCAATCTATAGAGTTTTTTTGGAAATTAATTCATGGTAGACAGTAGTAACATTTTTTGGTCAAAGAAGGTAATGTATGTGTACAAGTGCCTAGTAGGATCCTATTGTCATATCCAGGAGGAGCACTGCTGCTCCTCTGAGATGAGCAGCCAACTGGGATTGCAAACAGCACTAGTAACGAATTAAAGGGATGGAGTTTAAGAACAGGAATACACTTTATTTCTATGGAGGAAAAATCAGAAGATAGAAATCTGCCCTGAAGAGGGGGTAGGGGCTTCCAGAAAGATGAAAAATACATCAGCCTTTGTCCTGGCTTCTTTTATCGGGTTCCAGGGTCCTTTCCCTTTATCTGGAATTTGCCGTAACCTGATTGGCTCCTTGGTCTGTCCTTGGATTCAGCTGGGTCCCTTGCCTTTGTGTCCATTTCTTTTAGTGGCTTTTGTGTAACTTCTTTCTGCCCATTTGTTTGTTTGTCCTTGAGGAGCAGCTGTTTGGTTAGGAAGGGCCTTATGTATGGTTAGCTTAGAGTTAGTAAGGGAATGTGTGTGCATCTATTGTAGTAATAGAGTGACTCTAGAATAAATATATATTTAATGGTACCTCGGTTTACACATTTAATTTGTTTTATGACTTTAGGGAAAATGGCTGCATTTGTGTTTGTGTATGGAACAGAGGCATGGTCATGTTTGTCACCTGATACAGAATTTGTGAACAAAAGCAAAAATTTGCCAAATGCTTTTGTTTGAGAACCAGATTATTTGCAAGCAGAAACATTTGTCAACCGAGGTATTACTATACGAGTGCATAGGTCTGTGTATTTCTATACATTCAACAAGAGCCTCCCCCATTGGCATTGCCTCCCCACTTTCTCCCCCTGAATTCTACTGGAGGTGGGAGGGATAGCTTCTTGGCTTTATGCATTTGGCTCCCTGTGTGCTCTACCTGCTAGCTTTTTTTTTCTCTGTTAACTTTCAATACTACCTGTGCTATCTTCTGCCTTTTCTTTTTTCTGTCCACCCTTGTCCTTGAGACTGTTTCCAAGGGAATTTTTCTAGTAGAATTTCAACTCCTTCTAGTCAGGATTCACCAGAACACCTAATAAGTCCTCTGTTCTATTTTTTTCCCTACCTATAGACTCCTGCCCCTGTACCATGTTCCCTGATGGTCCTCAGTAAATAGAGAGTAATTTTGGGCTGACACAGTCTTTCTCGTTGCTGTCAGTATGGTTCTCTGTAGTAGTAGCATCAGAAAAATCTTGCTAAGTGAGTGTTGCATCAGCTGATATAGAAATGTGGCTTTAAATTCATTTTATGATCCCTTACAGACTAACTGGCTTGAGGAGTCAGTGCTTCCTGGAGTGAGAAAATTGTTAAAGCTTTGTCTTTCTGGGAGAAAACCTATGTATCAGTTCTTTCTAGTTCCCCTGCAACCTCATAAGCATAGGAATGTCAACTATATTACTAGGTAATATTGCTCAGATAAAAATGGCCCCAGGTTGGTAAATTACATCAGGATGAGAGTAATTTTGAGTGACTATAAATATGTGATGGAGACAGTGGCTTTGGTGTTCCCTTCTGATAGTCGTGTTTCCTGTGGTTACCCTGGAGTTACTATGAGAGATCTAGGCTCCTGTGAGGCAGCAGGCATTAAAGCCAAGACATCTTTAGCATTTTTCCTATTTGAATCTTGTCTCCTTGCACCTGACGCTATCACACAGTGAGATTATAGCACCTGATTAGCTTTATGAATATTCACGGGCTGCCGGAAACACCAGTCCCTCAGAGAGGAAAGCCACATACTCGCCTGGGCAGTCTGTGATTACTGCATTAACTCTGAGTGTACTCAGTATGGCCAAGACAGTCTGGTGAGTCTGAGTGTTCAGAACAGCCTAACAGAGACACCCTGGTGGGCATCACACTATAGTATACTGACCATGCTGCCTGTCTGTCTACCTTAGAATATGCCACACTGACCTTCCTCGTCATTTGCCTTCTTCTTGTCATGCTCTTATTTTACTCTACTTTGCCTTCAGCTCTTCTAGTGTATTTCCTCTTTCTGCCTGACACACTTTTACCTCTGACCTGTGTTTTCCTTCCCAGTCTGACCCTCTCTACCTAATCTCTTGTCTTTTTCTTTCTCTTGTGCTTTTTTGTTGTTTCCTTCACTCTTACTCTGGGATTGATAGTTGTAATTCTAAAACTAGTTCATCTTCGGCACTATGAGATGGGAATCTAATTGCAACTGACTAAGCCTTTAAACTGCATTGTTATGTCTCTCTTGCTCTTCACCAGCTAATTCTTTCCTATGGTCAGGTTCATTGTTTGATCATGGAGGCTTCCTCCATGTAGAAGTGTAAATATGGACTGACCAGGGCACAACTGGGGCAGACTGATTTCCTCTGGAGCAGGGTTTCATCGCAGAATGTTAGCTAGGCTCTCTGTTCTCATTATGCTGCAAGAGAAAGCTTCATAACACTTAACTGGTTTTTCTGAAAGGGAAAGCACTAAAATTAATTTTTTTTTTCCTTGAGATACCAGTGATTGAACCCAGGACCTCACACTGAACTACCTCCTAGTTCATTTCTTAAATAATTTAATTTAATTCTTGGTACTGGTGATTAAACTTAGGGTCTTCACACTGGCTACTTCCCCAACCATTTTTATATTTTAGTTTGAGGTAGGATCTCACTGAGTTGCTAAATTGCCTAGTCTGCTGGCTTTTTTAAAATTTTGAGACTGGGTCTCACTAAATTGTCCATGCTGGCCTCAAATTTGTGAACCTCCTGCTTCAGCTTCTCAGGTAGGGGGGATTATAATCATGCACCATTGTGCCCAGTAGATTACTCCCTTGCTTTAATTAAGAAGGGAATAAGTCTGTTCTTTAATATGGACCTGAAACTTTTAAAACAATTTCTTATATGACTGATATAAATTATGTCAACATTTGAATATAAAACATGTAAAAATATAGCATTGTGTGATTTATTTAAAACTAGATGGAATGAGAGTTAATTTTTATTTCTCCTTTAGCTGTGAGGAAGCTATTGGGAGAACTGAAAGGAAAAGGCTTAGAGATGTGGGTAAATGTTTTCAGATCTGAGTGTGTGATCGCTACAGTGAGAGAACTGCACATATAGATACGTCTTACCTTTGGGATTTCTCAAAATAGAATGTTGTCCTATCCCACTGTTACAAAATAAATAGCCCTTCAGAACCGCTATTTCACATACATATAATTCATTTCAAATCCTGTCTTTCTTTTTTTTTTTTTTCTTTTAGCCATCGTCTAGAATATTTCAAGCCCTTCAGCCTTAACATGCTGCTTGGAGAAGAATGGAAACAACCAGAATCAGATCTATGGCTAATAGAGAAACCTGACTTAGAGGAATTTAATGGTTAACAATATCAACAATTTTTCCTCTGTACCTTTTAAGGTAAACCATAAAGTTTAATCTCATTTAAGACACATTTGAGCAATAAATATCTTCAGTGGGCATGGAAAATATAGTACATACCTGTGTGTCAAATTGTATGATTAACAAGAAAATAGAAAATAAAGTTACAATTTTTCTCAGAGTCACTTAGTCTACAAGCCATGGTGTCAGTGGGTTCTACGTTCTGCCTTATCACCCCAATATCCAAATATCCCTTACTTTGTCAGCCAAAGACATTATTGTTTTCACACTTCCTTAAAGTTCAGCTAGCCTAAGTTTAGGACATTTTTTTAATTTAAACAGAGAAAACAATAACAACAATGATACAAAATTTCAAAACAAGATAGTAGGAGAGTAACAATGCTTAATACACTTCTTATTGTTATCTTCAAAGTAGTTGCTCAGATTACAAGATACAGGCATGAAAAATTAATCAAACTATATAAACACAAACCTTTCTTTTCCAAGAACTAAGACATTAGTAGTATAACTATCTTAGCTTTCATATATAATATAT